GACAAGCTCCTGCCTCAGGTGCTTCTACAGGTTCTCGGCCAAGATCCGCCTTCAAGTAATCTGCAGAGGTCCAGAGAGTGCTCGGCCCAGATTCTCGTTCAAGCAGTCCTGAGACACAGATTCTGCTGCAAGCTGCTGTAACACAGGTCCTGCGCAGGTTGTCAGACAAGCTCCCGCTTCAGGTGCTTCTACAGGTCCTTGGCCAAGATCCTTCAAGTGGTCTTCAGAGGTCTGGAGACGCAGATCCTGATGCATACTTGCTGCAACACAGGTCCTGCACAGATTCTTGGATGAGCTCCTGCTACGGGTGCTTCTACAGGTCCTCAGCCAAGATCTCTTTCAAATAATGGTCTTCAGAGGTCGGGAAGGAGAGATTCTGATGGATAGTTGCTGCGACACAGGGCCTGCCAAGGTCCTTGGACGGGCCCTGCTACAGGTGCTTCTGCAGGTCCTCGGCTAAGATCTTCCTTCAATTCAAGCGGTCTTCAGACAGCAGCAGTGGTTAAACTTCCTCGGAGAGCAGCTGAAAACAGTGCAGCGCTACTGACACCTCTTACAATTTGGTGCCAATACTTGTTTGGTTCATGTTTCCTTCATTCACTGGTTGCCTGTGCAAAAGTAAAGATTATGTAGCGGGCCCCCATGTGAACACCATTTTTGGAAGAATACTTTTCAACCATATCCCACATACTTGTGGCGAGATATCCTATACTATTTGGATTCCCTATACTTGTTGCGGAGTAATGCTGGAGGAACCAAAACGGTGTGAGGTTCAAGAACATCGTCCTGCGTGACCTTCAGTACATCCTTCCTCAGATCTTCACCTGGTACAGCAAAATATACTCTTCCACCACGAAGAGTATGGGCAGCAATGCTCGTGCGGGCTTGAAGCAACTGAGTGAAGGCTTCGAGCGAAAGAAGTTCCGCGGAAAGATGCGTGGCGTACGTCTGGACAAATGGTGGCCGGTAGCTTCTGGTATCGTGGCCCCTCCTATGAAATTTATTGTCCAGCCACCTTGGTGGGAAACAATTTTTGGGGGCAAGATGTTGTACACCTCTTCGTATAGTGTTTGTACATAATACGAACGAGTGACAGCCAGAGGTTTTGTGTATTGTTTATGTGCTATATATATATATATATTCTATTTCACTTTAATGGAGAAGTTCAGTTCACCAGCTGGGCGCTCGTCTGGCGCACTAGTTCTTCGAGTGGCTATTGGTACAGTTCATGAGGTATCCAACATCTCATCCATTCGGTACGTATGGCATATCAAACCTTTCAGACACCGGTGCTGGAGGTGCACTCGGCCTGAAAGACAGGCTTTACCTTGGGAATTGCTTGGTTTTCAAATCTTTCCTTCTGAGATGATTTACGCTAGCTGCGCACTCTGCGCGCTTGTCCGCATATACATGAGATCATATATGGGAGTCACGCCAGGACAGAAAATGATGTTCGACGTTAACAATCATAAGGTGAATGAAGCTCGCGCACAGCTGGGCGAAGCATGGGTCTTGCTGGGCGATGAACTCGATCGCCAGGCGAGCAAGATGTTTCATGAAGATGGCTGTGATGGTTGTACTGAACGAAACATTCAATGAACCCCAGAATCGTCTTTTGAAATTGGTTTTTCAGATAGCGAAGCTATAAGGGTGTTTACTCTTCAATGATTGGGTGCCAGATGTCGTCTAATAGACTCTGAGTTTGTCGTTTGTCTCTTTTGGCAGTCAGTGGCGGCCGCTGCCACTGCCACCGTTTTTGCCAATCTTGTCTCCCATGCAGCTTGTGTTCCAACATGAGGTTTCCCAAAATGATGTCTGGTGTGGCAGGCAGTGGCTGCTGCTGCCTTCTTTCCGAAAATGACGTTGTTGCTTTCGGTATCCGGTGTAGCTGCCCGCCAAACTTCTTCGCCAGGCGGTGTCACACGCTTTTTGCGAAATGCGTCAGCAACACTGCCGTGAGCAACAGCGTGCGGCCAAGAGAAGACGATCGGATACGGACCTACAGCTCTGGGCCTCGAAGGCTTTGAAGAAAGGCCTCCGACAATATACCATGCATGAAAACGAATGTGCACCAGATTGTTTGTGTATCATGCAATGCAAGCTGACTGTACTACTGTTGTGCCCACGCAAAAAGTTAGGGGATGGAAAAGTCTGTGGCCTAGCCACTCTTCGCAGTGCCATTCATGCCCTCCATGTTGAGTGCCAGGCTGTGTGAAGTGGCACATCAAGACCCTCAAGAAGAAGATCAGTGGCAAACCCTTTTGCTGTGGACGGCAGAGGCAGGATCGCTTCTGCAGCTACTGCGGCAAGATCTTGATGACTGTGTTGTGCCCCCTGGCTTGGGTGGATGTCTCATCACGAATCAGTGCCCCATTTTTGTTGTTGACGCATACCTACTTTCTTCTTGATTTCGCTCTCTCCATGTCGTAGTTACGCAACCATGTTTTGGCAGAGCCGTGTTGGCTTTGGCTATGATGCAGAGCTGTGTCACCAGCTAACCTGGGGTTGTTTTGCTTCGTCTAGGTGTGAAACTGGACGATGCAGGGATGATTGCTTCTCACGGTAGTCGCGAGCAACGTAGCTTCCTCGAAAAGTCGATAAAACACAAGTTAGACGGCGGGGTTGAAAGTAGCTTATGCTGTTGTGTTTTCAACTAGACTATGTAGTGGGCCCTTGGCTGAACAAGAGCATTCTGCAGCTGGGCGCATTGGCGATTCCCTTCCAAAGCTGACTTGCCACAACTCTTTTGTTTCAAAGCTTTGCTTGAAAAGGCGCAGAGTTCAGACAGCAGTGGTTCAACTTCCTCGGAGAGCACCTGAAAACACTGCAGCGCTAGTGACACCTCTCACAAAATGGTAACAATACTTGTTTGGTGTATGTCTAAAAAAAGTGTGCTAGCCGCGCGCTAGCACTGCGCTAGATCAACACTATAGCAAACATCGCCGCATTCCAGCATGGACCCTTCCAAAGCTGACTTGCCACAACTCTTTTGTTTCAAGCTTTGCTTGAAAAGGCACAGAGTTCAGGCAGCA